CTTAAAGATAATATCTTAGTATAGTAAAATCTTATATACTAAGATATAAAATATAGTTTTAGAATTAATCTACTTCTAATAAACTAGAAGATATAGAAGAAAGTATTCTAGATAGCGTTCGGTAATATTAGGACGTAGAAGTAACGTCGAGATAAATTCGACTCTCTTAAGTAAATAAGAATAGTATAAGAATTTCGATAGAAGATCGAAACTCTTAAGCTATATCTTAATTCTTATTCTAGCGATATTAAATATCTACTCGTTTTTAAATAAGAGTTTAGAATAGCTATTTAAAACTAAATAGAACTTCTTTTAAATACTATACTTTCTTAAAATTATAGAAACTACGCTCTTTTCGCGAATAAAAGTAAACGAAAGATATAAGCTAATATATATTAGATAGCCTCTCTCTAAGGGCGCTTAAAGAGATTTTTCTTAAGAAAGTCTTCTTAATCTTCTTAAATCGCTTAACTAGATTAAAAGAATACTAATAAAGATATTAAGATAGTCTTTAATAATCTTCGATTAGAATCTTTCTTAAGTATTTAGACTAAAAGCTTATATAGTCGTAGTAATAGACGCGAATTCTCGAGTAGCTTTCGTTAGAAATATTAAGATAATAGTCTTTATTTCGATTATAGAGAAGCTAGCTATTAAAAGAAAGATTACTCTAACTTAAAGAAGTCTATATAAAAAGACTATCGAAGAAAAGAAAAGAGTCGCTAGATAGTAGAGTATCTAGCGACGATAAAGAAGTTATAGACTCTTCGAAGACTATCGATACGAGCCTATTAGATCCTAATCTCTCTTTCGATAATCTAATAAACGTTACTATTAATATAACTAAAGTCTTCGACTATAACTTAGATTATATTTAGAGATATAATATCGCTAGTGAATCGCTAAAGTAGTATAGTAACTCTTATTCTATTACGATTCTTCTCAATACTAGTTCTAATATCTTTTATATCTTAAGAAGAGTCGTTAAATAACTAGATAAAGACTATAAAATTATCTAGAGTATATCTTTTTAAGTATATCTTACCAATAGTAAGACGACTCTCTCTAATTAAGCTATTATAATAAGCCTAACTATCGATAACTTTCGAGCTCGAATAATACTTTATATTTTAGATTAGGATATATACGATATTATTCTTAGACTTAACTAGCTAAAGAAGTATAGCGCTTCTTAGGATTTTAGCTACTTATATATAATAATACGTAATAGTACTAGAAAATTAACTTCGATACCTCTTTAACCCTTTCGAACTATTAACTATAAAGATATTAAAGAAGCTAGATTAAATCTACTTAACTTTCGAAAGACTTAAAAGACGATATCTAAACTATCTATATCTAACTAGACTTCTATTCTATATCTTATATAAAAATAGAGTTCTAACGACGAAGCGACCTCTTTAATATTTAGGATTAAGAATAAATATTTCTAGTATATTCTTAAAAAATTTAAAGTAGTATTTTAAGAAGAATTATCTACGAAGTTCCTAACGAAGCGGAATATTAAATACGAAATCGATATAAGCGACGCTAAATTTATTAACTTACTCTACTACTCTTTATCGAAAGAATATTAGGATAAATAAGATAAATAAATTTATATCTTACTAGAATAGAGCCTAATTCGACTCTTAAAGAGTCTATAGAGCTTCTCTATACTCTTTATACCTAAATCGGGAGATAAATAGTATATA